ACGTTTTCTAAATCTAACTCCTCCTCTCTGACCCTTTCAACAAATGTTTTTTTTTTTTTTTTTTTTTGTCCTTTCTTTTGTATTTTTTTGTCTTTACTTCTCATGTTACTGCAAGTATTTTGGATAATGAGGACAGCACTAGTAATCCTAATGAAATATCATTAGTGTTGCTGCTATCTATTTTTTAATATAGATAAGAGCATTACTAAAAAAAAAAAAAAAAAAAAAAAAAAAAAAAAAAAAAAAAATAAACATAGGGTCAGAACTAATGATAATTTTTTCCCACTCTTTGAGGTCTCTCTCTCTCTCTCTCTCTCTCTCTCTCTCTCTCTCTCTCTCCTCTCTCTCTCTCTCTCTCTCTCGTCTCTCTCGTTTCTCTCTCTCTCTCTCTCTCTCTTCCTCTCTCTCTCTCTCTCCTATCTCTCTCTCTCTCTTCTCTCTCTCTCCTCTCCTCTCCTCTCTCCTCTCCCTCTCTCTCTCTCTCTCTCTCTCTCTCTCTCTCTCTCTCTCTCTCTCTCTCTCACTCTCTCTCATCTCTCTCTCTCTCTCTCCTCTCTCTCTCTCTCTTCAACCACTCCATTTTCCTCCTCCCTCGCTTTCCTTTCTACTTCTTGCTCTTTCAACACATGAAGCATATCTTCCTGGAATTGACATCTCATATTTTTTGAAGATCCGCGTTGAAAATATTCTGGTTTTCTAATTAATGTATGAAAAGTTTCACTCTGTACCTCGTTTTTAATCAAGTTTAAAGGATTCTACCTCGGAGTTCAATGCTCCTGCTATAAATTTTAAGCTCGCCATGTAATTATCTTCAGAATAATGCCCCTCGTAAATTTTCGCAGGCTTAGAGGGATGTACAAAAAAAATAGAGAGAAAAAAGCTTGTTAATTCAACAGACAATCTGAGGTGTATATGAATATGTTGAACATGGCATCTTATTTTGTTGTGTGATGGTCGTAGTTTCCAAGGGAGAGCGAGACGAGTCCGGTCCTCAAGACGGAGGTAGAGAGACGGCGCAGAGGAGGTCCAGGCCACGTGCCATTTAACTCATGTCGGGCTAGAGCGTTCAGACCCGTCCAGCGCACCGCAAAGGTCTAAGGCTTTCGTGATTAATCTCCCTGAAACAGATGAATATGTATGTTATGAACCAGCCCGCGGACCATGAGGAGGATGCTCCATGCTGAATAAGTGGTTGTGTCTCTGCGCTGCGCTCGGTTCGATTCCGGGCTGGAGTTTTACTTAAATTGTTGGGCGACCCACTTGTACCAGAACCGTGGACCATGAATATTAATCAGGACGAGGCGCGGCACATAGTGGTCATGAATTGAGTTACCAGAGCTGCTTCACGCGGAGAGTTTACAAGTTCAAGAGGACCAGTCTTTGCTCATGTCTCGTAATTGCGGTTGTTTTGTTGTCTTCTCTAAATCAACCCATACGCCATGATTCTTTCAATGAATTCCTTTAAAGAACGCAATTTTACCCATATGTCAAATAACATTTGCTTGCCGGTTCACCACGGTCGCTCGAGTTAAAAGTACTAGCAATAAAACATCTTGTTTCATGAATATAGTGGTTTTTTTATCTTCTCTATCATTTTCTTGTAAAACAAGAATGACGTTGACAACACCACGTCAACCTTTCAACGTTGAAATCTTCTTCTCACAAAGTGCTTTGATGTACTTTGTCATCTACAATACATTTAAAAGCGGAACATATATAAAGAGCACTTCTTGATACATTGCAGAGGCGTACAGAAGTCCCGAGACCTTTACGTTAAGCATTATTGTTGTTGTCGTCGTCGTCGTTGTCGTCTTGTTTTATTGTTGTTGTTGTCTTCAAACTTCATCATGGTCATCTGATATATAATGTAAATAGAAACGAAAACCTAATGAATCAAAGAAGAAAAAGAGCTCACAAACAGTGTATGTTAACTAAGTAGCACAAGAATCAAGATGGCATGTTGCTGTTTATAAGTTTCCTGGCACTTCTAGGTTTAATGGAGTTTTATGGCCTTTTTACGAACTCTCTCTCAAGCAACTTAAAATGTGCCCATAAAACAGGCCTCCATAATTTAACTTAGAAAGTATAGTGAGGTTCAAGTTAAGAGTCACTTAGCTGAATGTTTGTGACGCCAGAGGAACTGCCCGTTTCCCCTGCTCTCGCTCCTGTCGCTCTCTCGGCTTGCGTTGGCCACGGGGAAAGGGAGGCCAGGGACGGGAGCTAAATGTATAGATATACATGTGCTTTAATCAACACACAAGAACGCAAGAACGCATACACATAGACAAACACACACACACACACACACACACAACGCACACCGCACACGAACACGCACACGCAACACGCACACGCACACACACACACACACACCACACACACACACACACACACACACACACGCACACGCACACGCACACGCACACGCACACGCACACACACACACACACACACACACACACACACACACACACACACACACACACACACACACACACAC